ATATTATTGTGGGGGGTTCCTTAGTATAAATGGGCCCCAAAACCATATTCTAAATAAAAAGGCCCCCATATTACCTAAACCCTAAACCCTAAACCCTAAACCCTAAACCCTAAACCTTCACGCCACCGCCCATCCAGGTGCAGACGCCCGAGCCGCAATTGCCGGGCCGAGGCATCCGAGTGTTGCTGTGCAGGGTTTAGGGTTCCGGGTTTAGGGCTCATCGTTTAGGGTTTAGGGTTTAGGGTTCCGGATTTAGGGTGTATGTTTTAGGGTTTAGGGTTTAGGGTTCCGGGTTTAGGGCTCATCGTTGAGGGTTTTAGGGTTTTAGGGTTTAGGGGTTTAGGGGTTTAGGGTTTAGGGGTTTAGGGTTGATGGTTTAGGGTTGCTTCAGAAACACCTTATGAAATGGGTGTTGTGTCTTTACCCCCCCGCTACAAAACTCCATTACCCCCTGTAAAGCCAGATGAGAGCACCATGTAACCCTACTACACCCTATCAGGAACCTTATTAAGAACACCTTTGACGCGCCAGGGCCTGTGGCGAAGCCACCACCAGAGGCTCCGCCAAAGTGCGAGCCTACCGCGAAAGTCGAGGCAAAGAAGGCGGGCATTTCTGTTTAGGTTCGGGTTCCTTTAAGGGCTCCTTTTTGGGAGCGCCTTCATAGCCTTTAAGGCTTATAGTAGAAACATGTAGAAACATTATGCTTTCACGGTTCTGCTGTTGGAGTTTATTAGGGTTTAGTTGTTGGTTTTGTTCAAGTTTTCGAAGATTTTGTAGCTAGGTTCATGTAGGGACTGCTATTGGATGTATGGGGTTTGTAGGTCTAGAGATTTAGATTTACTTGTTGTTGTGTTTTCTTAGAAGTTTTCTTGGTTGGGGGTTGAGGTGTTTACGTTTAGAGTTCTTGTTCAGTGGTTCGGGATTTAGGGTTTAGGGTTTAGGTTTCCTCAATACAATATGTTCCCCCGCCGCAAACCGTAAACCCAAGGTTTAAACCTCAATGCATAAACCCTCAACCCCAAACCCTAAACCCCCTCAAGCTCAACTCGAAGCTGACTCCTAAACCCCACCCACCCTAAACCCCTAAACCCCTAAACCCTAAAGCCAAAACCTCTAAACCTCTAAGCCCGAAGCCCTAAACCCCTAAACCCTAAACCCTAAAGCCTAAACCCCAAACCTGAAACTTTCATCCTTATTCCTCGAGCCTAAGCCCGAAATTCTGAGCCCCTGTATTTTTAAACCCTAATCTAGGAACCTGATTAAGAAATCCTGGGTCTTTATTAGGGTTCCTTATATGAGTCCTATTATTTCGGGGTTATAGGGCCAGGGTTTCTTAATCGGGTTCCTACATCAGGATTTAGTGCGCACCAGTAAACTGGCCCCCCCTAATCCCTGAACATTAATCTCTAATTCCTCAAGCCTAAACGCGAAACTCTACACCCCACGGAAAAACCTGAACCCTAATCCCTAATCCCTAAATCCTAAACCACAAACCCTAAAGCCTATAAATCCTAAACCAAACTCTTTAGTGTTTTCGGTTTAGGGGTTTAGGGGCTTAGGGGTTTAGGGGTTTGGGGGTTTAGGGGTTTAATTAGGGGTTCAGGGGTTTGGGTTTCGGGTTTAGGGTGTAGGGTTTAGGGTTTAGTAAAGGGTTTTCGCTTTAGGGTTTAGGATTGAAATCTTGAGCCCGGCCCGCAAACCGTGAACCGCTAGCCCCTGAGCCTTACGCCTTGAACCTAATTCAGGCGGCAGTGAACCAGAGGACCTTCTCGCTGAAGAGTTTGGGATTTACGGTTTAGGGTTTGGGGTTTAGGATATAGGGTTTGGGGTTTAGGATATAGGGTTTGGGGTTTAGGATATAGGGTTTAGGGTTTGGGGCTTGGGGTTAAGGATTTTGGGTTCGCGGCTTAGGATTTAGGGTTTAGGGTTTGGGGTCTAGGGTTTAGGTTT